AATTTATCTATATGTTATGAATGCTGCCAAACTAGAAAGGAAAGAAAATAGTTTAGTTTAATATTTCTCGTCTTTGGAGCTGCTCAGTCATCCAGGTCGTGGCAGTCTTGTGAAGTCACCCTGAAGCAGTCCAGCTGCCTTCTTTTTTGAGCCCTTAAGACTTCAATATTTCTCCCACTTCCTGACCATCAGTGCTTTGTTGGAAAGTTGAGTGTGTCAACATACAGCAGTACAAAGCTGGGTGGAGAAACCTGGAGGGAGTTAGACAGCCTGACGCCACATCAAACACTGCTGGACTTTTGTTTTTCCACTTTTCCCCCTCCATTTCTAGCCTACAGGAAAAAAAACCCTCCTTTGCACACGCTCAGTCCAAAGGTGGAGTGAACAGCTAAGCATCCTATCACACTGTTGCAGAACAAAATGTGAGTCATGTGGACATCTGCGCAGCTTTATCTCAGGATCTGATCGCTTCAAAAAGCCAAACTGTTCACATGCAGCTGACCTGAATCCCGATTGTTCCACGAATCCATCTCTGAGTTTGCAGACTCGCTGAACACGCATTACAACTGTGATCTAACACCAGAGTAAATAAACCCTCTCACTCCTCAGACACACCCATTCACATATTTGAGATGTTCAGCCTTTTTGTTTGCCAGCTTTAAGGCTCCGCTCGCCAAATGTGAACAATCTGCTAAAGCTGCCTTCCCATTTAACAGCTGCAGCTAAATTAAACTTAATCAGCTCTCCTCCTTTGTCTTGGGGAAGCTGGTGTGAGGCTGAGCTATAATTGGAAACGGGTGAGAGGAAAAGATAGGAGAAAAATGACATCATGTGAGAGAAAAGGAGAATCCGGAGGGGGGACAAGGCCATTTCTGACACCTTCTCAGTTATTTAGCTTAAAATATAGACAACAGGGGAGGGGAGGAAAGTAGTCTGTTTACTGGAAACAAGAAAAAATTAATGTTTAACTAAAACTCAACACATTTGCATACACTCCTGAGAGAAAGCAAGAATCAGCAAAAGCAGGCTGTGCGTGAAGAAAGCGCAGCAGGAGGAAGTGTTACAAACGAAACCCTTCAGTGGACATGAGCCAACCAAGAAGAAAAGCAAACAGATCGAAACAGGGAGCCTGAGCAAACAAGGAACTGCATCCTGTAAGCTGTGTGTGGTGGATTTTTATTGGCCAGTTAAGGATTAACCAGTGCAAACAACCACTTTAAAGCTTTAGCTTCTTCTCTCACATTTTTAAAATGGCTATCTGCAGAGGATGTGCACTTGTTTTTGTTTAGACCAAACAGGCAGTCGGAGAGTATTTGGGCCAGGAGTGTGACTGATGTGTGCGTTACCACTACCTCCAATTTCACACACTGACACCTCATCACACAGTGAGGAGCTTTAAAAAACAGGAAATTGCACCTATTAAAATGTCCTTTGTCATGCTTCAGCCATAACTGTTGAACAATTAGTTTTCTAAATAATATTCCAAAAGCCAGAATAACACCACAGTATTTACACAAAACTTGGGTCTTTTGCATTTATTTCGAGGACACATCTAAAACCTGCAGGACACCGACCCTCGAGGCCTGGAGTTGGCCACCCCCGGTTTACAGCTATCTATAAAACACGATGCAGACTCTAAGCAATACCATCAGGAACGCTTGCGATTGGTCACAGCTACATTTTTAAACATCACAATGATCCCAAACACACTGTCAATGGAGTATACCTGGATAAAATTGCAAAGTGGAACAGTCATGGATTGGCCTTCCCAGAGCCTGGACCTCAACAATATTAAAGCAC